TTGAAAATAAAGAGAACATTTTGTTACATACCCTGCTAACAGACACATCATTTTTGCTCCACATTCCATGTCCACATTTTTGCTCTCCTCACCTCAGGAATGTTGGCAAGTTGTCTAAGTTCCATGATGGCATTTCCCCCCATAGGAATGGTTCTATGCAGATCAGTTATGGAAATACCCATGGGAATCAGCATGAAAATTTCCACAGACTAGTAGCAGACACTCAGGGTACAGCAAGTATAGCTAATATAACCTGCCTGCATCAGAAAACCATAGCTTTTTAGTCAGTTTGGATCATAGAAACAAAACAGATTTCCTGGAATTGTGTCTGATCCACAATCCAAGTATAACCAGTTTCATAACAATATATATGAATAGCAAGTCATATGTCTCCATTACTATCATGGAGACAATAACGTTGGCAAACTTTAAACTCATCCATTTTAGCTTTTAATTTTGAAATTACAAAAATAGCTCTGAACAGTCTTCAAACTATTTTAAAGAAACACTGACCCTAAAATTTATGAGGAAAAAGGAACACCAGCATTCCCTCTGAAATTAAAGAGGGAAGCAACATGATACAGGAGTGATGAGCCCACAAAGGTTTTTGTAGAGTCTTTTAGAAATGATTTTGCAATTTAGAATCTTTTATATAAAATCAAATATTTGATCAGAAAGGAAAGTCTGCTAAAATCTGTGCAAGGAACTGGAAATTAGAGCTTATTGTTGGTCACATAATATGTAATACATCAATAAGCTCAGCTACTTAGCAACAACAATGTTCATCCAATAGCTTTTAAAACATAACCAGAATTCTTTTTTTTTTTTTCAGGAACTCAGTGATTTCCTGAGTTAATAAAGCAACTTCACACATCTAGACTAATCACAGCTTGTCAATTATTACCATAAGCATCTGCACTTTGAGCAAATGTTTAACTCCAAGTTATGTCAGGGCCCTTTTCAAAGTGATATAACTCGTGTTAAATCTGCAGAGGACTACATTTAACGGTTCATTTCAGACATGGTCTCTTAGTTGCTGGTACAATCTAGTAATGAATGTAGAACAAACCAATGTCAAGTTTTTCCACTCAAAAAACAATAGACACACCATGTCCCCAAGCTGCTGTTTAGTTCATCTAAATGATTTTCCTTTGTAGTGGCTAATTCTCTTCCTTCCATTGCAACTCAGTTTGATTGCTTGATACCTTCTCATATTCATATAGCTTTAGCTTAATAAAATTTCAACAGCAATGACTTAAAAGTTAAAGCTCCTTTTTGCCCTCTCACATCAACTGGAACGTGACACCAAAGAAGACGTCTTCTCCTTTTCTCCCCATTTCTAGGACAGTACATTGACAATCAATAAGGTAGTTAATGTAATCAGCAAACATTTTTGAGTGTCTACTAGGTACTTCAGATACACAGTGAGTAAAACAGGAAAACACCCATTTATTTGTCAAGTCGCCACTCCAGAGCTTAGAGAAAAACAATGATGAATTGCCATTCATTTGGTAAAATGATTTGGCATTTTCAAAAATTCTCTAGAAAATAAGGACCACAGAAAGAATTGGTATTACTGGCTGAAATGTTATTGTCATGTCATACACAGTGATCAGGAAATGTTAGCAGACCGTCCAATGCTACAGCAAAAGAAGTCGGAGGTGAGGGAGGATGAGTCACCTTGATACATGAGGAGGCACATTTCAAAAAAACCAACCAACCAACCAAATAAACAAACAAACAAGAAAAGCAAGAATCCAGTCTGTTTCTGAGGCAGGAGAATACCAGGGATATTGAAGGAAAGTGAAAAGCTGAAACCAAAGATTAATAACTCTTTCACCACTTGCTTGAGCAGCTTCTATACTATAATTGGAATGACACAGAAAAGGTCCATGTAAGAATGAGTCCCAGATTCATGAAGGATTCCATTAAAATGCAAGTAACTCTTTCACTGTTACACTCACGGTTAGCAGTAACTTTATCCACGGTCTCTCAACTAAGAGCCTTGCTCTGTTCCCTCACTTCCCCTGAAGAAAGCAAATAGGTGATGCCTCCTTTCTGGTTGTTCCGACCTTTTTGAACTTCACTTGCACTCATACCTTCTATTTATTCTCACTTAATCTTTTGAATTTTAGTCCTTATCTCCTTTTGAACAGCTGGATTCTATGACCTTTAAGGACAAACATCAATATGACTTCTGAGCTTCAGGGAATTGGGGCTTTTGCTAGACTCAGAATTCAACAACGGTTTTCATAGTCAACAGTCACCATCCATTACACTTCATCCTCCCTAACCAAGAGAAGATCTAGGGAAATCAAAACAACTGAACACGCAAATGCCTATGTGCCAGTGCTCTGCTTACAAACTTAAAGACCTAAGGTTCACCATGCAAGTACTCAGGAAATCCAAAGCCCAGTTTCGTCTCTTTTTACAATAACTGTATGTGTCAATTTTTTTTTTATTTTTCTCCAATTCTTCTTGAGAGTTTTGCTTCCTCAGCTCCTTTTATTCAAATATAAGGGTATACAAACTTGAGTGAACTCATTAGTAGCAAAAGCAACTGTTCGTGTTTAACTAGAGAGTCCTGTGATTAGAATTCACTAACACATGACCATTTTCATAAGGGCAGTTTAAGAAAAAATTTAAATAATGCAACATAAATATAGATAGATGATAGATAGATAGATAGATAGATAGATAGATAGATAGATAGATAGAT